GTGTCTCTGTCACTTACTCTTTGTACAACCTTTAGCAAGGGATCTAACCTCCTTTGATGAACTACAGATGTCACTATGGGTAAGAATCCTGCCCAGGGCTGGATAATTTGATCCCCCCTTCCCTCTTCCAGGTTCCCTTTGCTTTGAAAGATATGGAAGTGTGACACTGCTATCAATGTCTGAAAAGAAAAGGAGAAAAAGGGCCAGTGAGGCTGGGGGGCAGGTGCCCCAATTCAAGTACCCCAGGGATAGTACAGAATGCTTCATCACATTATCTCAAACTCATATTTCATTTCCAGATCTACAACACCCCTTCTCGTACCAAAAATAGGGATCTCAAAACTAGTGCCATAATTAGAAAGAATAACCTGTTTCCTTGATTAATTGCATATTGCGAGCAAAAGACGACGTAGGAGGTAATAATTTATGGTAGCAATTTAAGGTGACAGCAAGATTTTTGTCATAAACTTTCCATAGTTGCATGTCATAGATTTAGGAGAATATAGTACTTTATAAAGAAAAAAAGAGATAAAACAAATATTGAAGCTCAGAACTCATCTCAGCAAATGTTCATCCTTATATCATCTGTTCTTCATTTCTTATGAGGATTCACATTTTTATTCCATCATATTTTGTGATATAGTTTATGAACAACAGCCTTACTTCAATTAACCCTACTGCTATACACTTTTACATTCAACAAATAAGTTTGTACACATTTGTATTCAAAGATAACCTTCTGATGAAGTTGTTCTCCACTTGTAAGGATGTCACCAGAGCATTTAAAGCAGAAGTTCTTAGCTTAAGGTCCGCAGATCCCCAAGGGGTCTTGACTAGATTTCAGGGTGCTCATGACCTTAGATGGGAGAAAAATTACAGCTTTGTTTCATAATAATTAATTTCATTTATAATCCTATGTATTTTATTTTATGCATTTAAAATATTATTCTGAGAAATAGTCCTTCAGTCCTTTACTTAGACTGACAAAGGTGTCCATGATACTTCCTGATTGAGAGCATAACTCATGAGTCTTCCAAACTGGACTCATGTGAAGGTCAGCCTTTTCTTTGTGGACCCCATCACTGCTTCTAAAACCTGCCACACTACCGCTCATGTCTCTGACTCTTTGCCTAATGAATTGCTGATGTGTACCCTCAAGGATCCAAAGCAGAAGTGAGGAAACTGAGTCCTAAAGGCCACATGTGGCCTCAAGGCATCAGGTGCTCCAACCCTGAGCCAAGGCATCATCTCTCAACATCATGGAAAGCTGACCTTCTGGATACTGCTAGTTTCCAGAATTTCTCAGCTAGGATATGATGTTCTAAAATGTGCTTCAGTGTGTCCATAGAATGTCTCTTCTGAAGGACCCCATTTCTGTCTTCCCCCCCCCCTCAGCTTGCAACACAATAGCTGTTTTCATCCATTGTGTTTACAGGGACAATGTAGTAGTGTAGGTAGAGCAACAATTGGGAATTTTTACACCAGAGGTAAGTACCATGAACCACAACAGAAGGAAGTAACACAAATTATATCCTCATTTGAAGGAGTAGGAATACGCAGAGACCAATCATAGGCTGTGGGAGGGGAATGGGAAGCAAGGTAAGACGAGGGAATAACTTACCCTAGTCACCCATCAAATAGTTCCAACTTGAACTAATTATCCATGCTAAGTAAGCGCTAAGTTCTACAGTGTGTTAGAAGTCTAGGGCAAACCTATCATTATACTCTAAACTCAGTGCCTCCAGGGCAGGACAAAGCCAGCCAACATCACTCTACCCTACTTATGTATGGTTCTGAGTTTAGTTGATAGGGAGTGGGCTTCTAGTGCCAGCTCTAATGCTGATTGACCTTGGAAGAATCACCTGCTCTCTGAGTCTTTGTTCCCTAATGAACACAATGACAGTATGGGACTAGACGAGTTAGAAAGCCCATTCTAGATCCAATATTTTATGATTCCATAAACATACAGAAAGACAGAGATTGAATACATTTCTTTCATAAAAGGCTATGTTCCCCAAAGCTTGTCCTGAAGAAGAGACAAGAAAATAGGATTCCCAAACTTCTTTTGAGAAGTAGAGGACTATGGGTAGAGAGCACTGAATATGCTCTCAGATTCAGTTAATAAGTTGATTAATTTTGCTGAACTGCTTTTTTTCTTTCTTTTTCATTATTTGTTGCTTTTAATTCTTTTGTTACAAGAGAGGATTATATTCAGAAATGATTTAAACAACTTTTTTCCTTTTAAAGGGTAGAGCATATTTTTGTAAAATACTCTGTATTCTATTCAACAGCCATTTTCCACCTTTTTATTAATTAATTTATATATTTTTAGTATTCAACGTTCACTTCCACAAGATTTTGAGTTCCAAATTTTCAGCCCATCTCTCCCCTCCCCCACACCAAGACAGTGTGCATTCTGAATATCCCTTCCCCCAATCTGCCCCCATTCTATCACTCCTCCTTCTCTTATCCCCTTCCTCTTCTAATTTTCCTATAGGGCAAGACAGATTTTCATACCCCATTGCCTGTATAACTCATTTCCCAGTTGCATGTAAAAATAATTTTAAACATTTGTTTTTAAAACTTTGAGTTCCAAATTCTCTCCCTTCCTCCCTCCTCCCCCACTCTCATTGAGAAGGCAAGCAATTCAATATAGGTTATACATGTGTAGTCATGCAAAGCACTTCCATAATAGTCATGTTGTAAAGGACTAACTATATTTCCCTCCATCCTATCTTGCCCCCCCATTTATTCTATTCTCTCATTTGACCCTGTCCCACTTCAAAAGTGTTTGCTTCTGATTACACCCTCCCTTCTATCATCCCCCTGCTCTCTTATCCTCTTCTCCCCTTCTTTCCTGTAGAGTAAGATAAATTTTCATACCCAATTAAGTGTGTATGTTATTCCTTCCTTAAGCAAAATCGATGAGAGTAAGGTTCACTCATTCCCATTCACCTCCCCACTCTTCCCCTCCATTGTAAAAGATTTTCTTGCCCCTTTTATGTGAGATAATTTACCGTATTCTACTTTTCCCTTTCTCCTCCCAGTACATTCCTCTCTCACCTCTTTATCATATGTTTTAGATATCATCCCTTCATATTCAACTCACCCTAGATCTCCTTTTTCATTTGGCCAATTCTGCTTTTTAAGGAATTCTTCTCCTCATTGGCTTTTTGGACCTCTATTGCCGTTTGGGTTAGTCTATTTTTAAGGCGTTATTTTCTTCAGTATTTTTTGGGTCTACTTTAGCAAGCTGTTAGCTCATTTTTCATGATTTTATTGCATCACTCTCATTTCTCTTCCTAATTTTTCTTCTACTTCTCTAACTTGCTTTTTGAAACCCTTTTTGAGCTCTTCCATCGCCTGAGATCAACTTATACTTTTTTTTCTTCCCCTTCATCTCTCCCACTCCCAACAGCTTGAGCTGGAAGTGTATGGGTAGCTGTGAACATCTCTCTGCAATGTCTTCTCCATCCACTTGGCAAACACAGTCCTGAAGAAGAGAGAACACAGGTGGTTTCTTTGCCCCAAGCAGGTTGAAACATGTGCATAAACAATTTTTTCAGTGTTTTCTCAGGCATAGAATTTGTATTCATGCACATTTGAAACCTTGGTGTGTGTCTAATCAACACCACTTTAAAGTAAATTCTTGTATGATAAAGAGTACAGAGCAAACATTCTACTCTAACATCCAAGAAATTAATTCCTGAGGATGAAATGCTTCTAGAATTTACCCCTGAGTTTAATCATCATCACTGTTTTCAGTATGAAGGACTCGAAACAAAGAGAAAGCAATTCAATACAAAATATGACTTAGTATGAAATGAACTACACAGGAAGGAAAGGAAACTGAAAAATCTCACATTAATAAGAAAGTTGAGGGATAATTAAAGGAGTAGAATATCCTGGAGGTAGGTGCTGTCTGGAGCCTGTTAGCATAATACAAAGGCCATTAAGTTAAATGAGTCTGCCAGAAATGTCAGGGGGAAAAAATAGAGTCCATTTTTTCCAGTTGTTTTGTTGAGTCAACTGTATTTCCCTTGTGGTGCTATGGAGACTTGGCCAATTATTGGGCTTCTGTCATTGGGAAGCAATTCAACTGGAGTCAATTCAACAAGCATTTATTAAACACCATCTGTGGTGAAAGCACTGTCCTAGGTCCTAGGATACAACAGTAGAGGGCTGCTCTTCCAAGGCCAGGCTATTACTCTTGCCCCTCAGGGATCTTCTGGGGAGGTCCTTCTTTACTGCTATCAGTTCAAGCCCCGCACTGGCTGAGTTCTCCCAATTATTAGACACCAGTGAGTAGCACTCCAGGTCCTTTTAACATCCTAATGTCAATTTGTTGTTTGGTTGTTTTCAGTCATACCCAACTTGTCATGACCCCGTCTGGGATTTTCTTGGCAAAAATAATGAAGTAGGTGGCCGTTTCCTTCCCCAGCTCATTTTGTACGTGAGGAAACTGAGGCAAACAGGGTTAAGTAACTTTTCTAGGGACACTAGTCAGTGTCTGAGGCCAGATTTGAATTCAGGTATTCCTGCCTCCAGGCCCATCACTCTATGAACTAAACCACCTACCTATCCTCCTAACAACAACCAATTTTTTTAAAGAGGCATTTACTTCAAACATTTAGACAGAACAAACATTTTCCCCAATACTTTGGGGAGATACTTTTAGCTCAGTTCCTATACAGCATTGGTCCAACCAATGTCACATCCAGATGCCAGATCTGTCCTCTTCTTAGCTTCCACTTGGCTGAGTTTAAAAGGTCACATAAAGCTTCTCAAGGCACCAGTGCTGAGCTGGCTACAAAACTTGATCTCCAGACTTGATGCCCTTCTTGATCTTTGTAAATTCCCAAGGTTGGAAGCTCAAATATCTTTCAGTTAGAAAAGAAAAAATCAGAATCAACCACTGTTGTTACAAAAATATGATTTTAATTGATATAATACCTCTTGAGATACAGAATTCCTCAGGAGCAAAGGATTTAGAGCGGGGATGAACCTGAGAGATCACTGAGTCTAATACTGCCATTTTTCAGCTGACAAACCTAAGATCCAGGGATGCAAAGTAATTTTGTTCAAGGCCAGGCTCAAATAAGGATCAAGATTTGAATAGAAGATCTTTGTCCCCCAAACTGGTTCCACCAAGTTCCATAAATCTGTCATACAAAGCAGATGGCTATAGTTATTTTAGTAGACATATGTTATTTTTTATAAATATAGATTTATTTATTTTTACTTTTCAACATTCACTTCCACAAGTTTTTGAGTTCCAAATTTTCACCCCATCTCACCCCTCCCCCCCCACCAAGATGACAATGCATTCTGAATATCCCTTCCCCTAGTCTGTCCTCTCTTTATCTCTCTCCCCTTCTCTTATCCCTTCCCCTTCTATTTTCCTGTAGGGCAGGATAAGACTTCTGTACCCATTTCCTGTATTTTCTTATTTCCCAGTAGCATGTGAAAACTTTTTTTTAAACATATGTTCTTAAAACTTTAGGTTCCAAATTTTCTCTCTTCCTCCCTCCCCACCCACCCTCATTGAAAAGGCAAGCAACTCAATATAGGTTGTACATGTGCAGTTATGCAAAACATGTCCATAGTAGACATGTTGTGAAAAACTAACTACATTTCCCTTAATCCTATTCTGCCCTCCCATTTATTCTATTCTTTCTTTTGACCCTGTCCCTCATCAGAAGTATTTACTTCTGATTACCCCCTTTTCCCAATCTGCCCTCCTCTTTATCATCCCCCTGCTCTCTTGTCCCCTTCTCCCCCTATTTTCTTGTAGGTAAGACAGATTTCCATACCCAATTGAATGTGTATGTTATTCCCTTCTTAAGCCAAATCCTATGAGAATAAGATTCACTCATTCCCTCTCACCTTCCCCCATTTCCCCTCCACTGTAAGAGGCTTTTCTTTTCTGTTTTTTTTTTGTGAGATAATTTACCCCATTCTACCTCTCCCTTTCTTCTTCTCTGAATATCATCCTCTCTCATCCCTTAATTTTATTCTCTAGATATGACCCCTTAATCTTCAACTCACCTTGTGCCCTCTATCTATCTATTTACATATACATACATACATATAATTTTTTTCCTCCAACTACCCTGATACTGACAAAGGTCTGATGAGTTATAAATATCATCTTTCCATGGAGGAATGTAAACAGTTCAATCTTAATAAGTCTCTTATGATTTCTGTTTCTTCTTTACCTCTTCATGTTCCACTTCAGTCCTGTATTTGAAAGTCAAATTTTCTGTTCAGCTCTGGTCTTTTCATCAAGAATGCTTGAAAGTCCTCTATTTCACTGAATGACCATTTTTTCCCCAGAAGGATTATACTCAGTTTTGCTGGGTAGGTGATTCTTGGTTGTAATTCTATCTCCTTTGCCCTCCAGAATATCATATTCCATGCCCTGCAGTCTTTCAATGTAGAACCTGCTAAATCTTGTGTTATCCTGATTGTGTTTCCACAGTACTTGAATTGTTTCCTTCTGGAAGTTTGTAATATTTTCTCCTTGACCTGGGAACTCTGGAATTTGGCTATAATATTTTTAGGAGTTTTCCCTTTGGGATCTCTTTCAGGAGGAGATCAGTGGATTCTTCCAATTTCTATTTTGCCCTCTGGTTGTAATATATCAGGGCAGTTTTCCTTGATAATTTCTTGAAAGATGATGTCTAGGCTCTTTTTTTTTAAATTTTCTTAATTTAATTTGATTGATCAACAGTAACTTCCATATTCTTTCGAGTTGAAAATTTTTCTCCTCCTTCCTCCCCCCCACCCTCCCCAAGATGGGGCACAATCCGTTATAGGCTTTACCTTTACATAACCTTTAAACATACTTTCACATTAGTGAAGTTGTAAGTAAAAATTAAAACCAATAGCAGGAACCATCAGAAAGATGAAACAAAATTCAACAGAAGGTAAAAATAAGTGATAGCGATTCAGCTTCCATAGTTCTTTCTTTGGATGTGGACAGCATTTTCCATCCTGGGGCCTCTGGAGATGAGAAGGGTTCAGTTTAACAATCTTAGTCACTGCATAACATTGCTGTTATTGTGTACAAAGTCCTCTTGGTTCTGCTCACTTCACTCAGCATCAGACCATATAAGTCTTTCCAGGTTTTTCTGAAGTCAGCCTGTTCATCACTTCTTATAGCACAATAGTATTCCATTACATTCATGTACCACAACTTGCTCAGCCATTCCCCAATTGGATGGGCATCCTCTCAATTTCCAATTCTTTCCCCACAAAAAGAGCTGCTATGAATATTTTTGTACATGTGGGTCCTTTTCCATTTGTTGATCTCTTTGGGATATAGCCCTAGAAGTGCTATTGCTGGATCAAAGGGTATGCACATTTTTGCAGCCCTTTGGGCATAGTTCCAAATTGTTCTCTAAAATGGTTGGATCATTTCACAACTCCACCAACAATGTATTAGTGTTCCAATTTTCCCACATCCTCTCCAACACTTATTATTTAACTGTTTTCTCATGTTGGCCAATCTGATAGGTGTGATGTGGTACCTCAGAGTTGTTTTGATTTGCATTTCTCTAATCAATAATGATTTAGAGCATTTTTTCATATGACTACAGATGGCTTTAATTTCTTCATCTGAGAACCGTCTGTTCATATCCTTTGACCATTTATCAATTGGGAATGGCTTGTGTTCTTATAAATTTGTCTTAATTCTCTATATATTTTAGAAATGAGGCTTTATCAGAGAGACTGGTTGTAAAAATTCTTTCCCAATTTTCTCTTCCTTCTAATCTTAGTTGCATTGGCTTTGTTTGTGCAAAAACTTTTCAATTTAATGTAATCAAAACGATCCATTTTGCATTTCATAATGTTCTCTATCTCCCATGGTCATGAATTCTTCTGTTCTCCATAGATCTGATAGGTAAACTATTCCTTGTTCTCCCAGTTTACTTATGGTATCAGCCTTTATATTAACCATGAACCCATTTTGACTTTATTTTGGTATATGGTGTGAGATTTGGGTCTATGCCTAGTTTCTGCCATACTCTTTTCCAGTTTTCCCAGCATTTTTTTCAAAGAGTGGGTTCTTATCCCAGAAGCTGGGGTCTTTAGGTTTATGAAATAATAAATTACTATAGTCATTGCATATTTAACCTATTCCACTGATCCACCTCCCTATTTCTTAGCCAGTACCAAGCAGTTTTGATGATTGCTGCTTTATAATACAATTTAAGATCTGGAATTGCTAGGCCACCTTCCCCTGCATTTCTTTTCATTAGTTCCTTTGATATTCTGGACCTTTTGTTTTTCCAAATGAATCTTGTTATTATTTTTTCTAACTCTATAAAATAATTTTTTGGTAGTTTGATTGGTATGGCACTGAATAAGTAAATTAGCTTAGGTAGGATTGTCATTTTTATTATATTAGCTCGGCCTACCCATGAGCAACTGATGTTTTTCCAATTATTTAGATCTGATTTTATTTGTGTGAAAAGTGTTTTGTAATTGTGTTCATAGAGTTCCTGGGTTTGTTTCGGGAGGTAGACTCCTAAATATTTTATAATGTCTACAGTAAGTTTAAATGGGATTTCTTTTCTATCTCTTGCTGTTGGGCTTTGTTGGTAATATATAGAAATGCTGATGATTTATGTGGGTTTATTTTATAGCCTGCAACTTTGCTAAAGTTGTTTATTATTTCAAGTAGTTTTTTACTTGATTCTCTAGGATTCTCTAAGTATATCATCATGTCATCTGCAAAGAGTGATAGCTTTGTTTCTTCTTTGCCTATTCTAATGCCTTCAATTTCTTTTTCTTCTCTTATTGCTAAAGCTAAGGTTTCCAGTACAATATTGAATAACAGTGGTGATAATGGACATCCTTGTTTCACCCCCGATCTTATTGGAAATGCTTCTAGCCTGTCCCCATTACATATAATGCTTGCTGAAGGTTTTAGATAATGCTATTTATTATTTTAAGGAAGACTCCATTTATACCTATGCTTTCTAGTGTTTTTAATAGGAATGGGTGTTGTATTTTATCAAAAGCTTTTTCTGCATCTATTGAGATGATCATGTGGTTTCTGTTGGTTTTGTTGTTGATATGCTCAATGATGCTGATAGTTTTCCTAATATTGAACCAACCCTGCATTCCTGGTATAAATCCTACCTGGTCATAGTGTATTATTCTTGTGATAAGTTGCTGCAATCTACTTGCTAGTATTTTGTTTAAAATTTTTGCATCTATATTCATTAGAGAAATTGGTCTATAATTTTCTTTCTCTATTTTGACTCTTCCTGGTTTAGGTATCAACACCATATTTGTATCATAAAAAGAATTTGGTAAGACTCCTTCTTCACCTATTTTCCCAAATAGTCTATATAGTATTGGAATTAATTGTTCTTTAAATGTTTGATAGAATTGCATGTAAATCCATCTGGCCCTGGAGATTTTTTCCTAGGGAGTTCATCAATGGCTTGTTCAATTTCTTTTTCTGAGATGGGGTTATTTAAGTATTTTACTTCCTCTTCGTTAATCTGGGCAATTATATTTTTGTAAATATGTATCCATTTCACTAAGATTGTCAAATTTGTTGGCATATAGTTGGGCAAAATAATTCCTAATTATTGTTTTAATTTCCTCTTCCTTGGTGGTAGCTTCCCCTTTTCATTCTTGATACTAGTAATTTGGTTTTCTTCTTTCTTTTTTTAATTAAATTAACCAAAGGCTTATCTATTTTATTGGTTTTTTCATAAAACCAGCTCTTAGTTTTATTTATTAGTTCAATAGTTTTCTTAATTTCAATTTTATTAATTTTTCCTTTGGTTTTCAATATTTCTAATTTGGTGTTTAGTTGAGGATTTTTAATTTGTTCTTTTTCTAGTTTTTTTAGTTGTATGCCCAATTCATTAATCTCCTCTTTTTCTTTTTATTTATGTAAGCATTTAGAGATATAAAACTTCCCCTAAGAACTGCTTTTGCTGCATCCCATAGTTTTGGTATGTTGTCTCATTATTGTCATTCTCTTGAATGAAATTATTGATTGTTTCTATGATTTGTTGTTTGACCCAATCATTTTTTAGGATTAGATTATTTAGTTTCCAATTATTTTTTAGTCTATCTTTCCATGGCCCTTTATTACATATAATTTTTATTGCATCATGATCTGAAAAGGATGCAT